AGTCTCACTGTTTTTATAAGTTCAGTTAAGAAGAAGAGATGTTAACCACTTCTCACTTTGTTTCATAAGTTGTTTGTTTCTAGTGGCTTGCCTTTATTTTTACTTCCCATCTCTTTGTATAAACTACATATACTCAGTATTTCACATTAAGACCATTGCTTTTTTTCCCTCTACAAAAAATCTTTGTGAAAATTTATCAAACGCTGCATTCGATCTTTATGCAGATGACACAATGATCTATTGTTTAGATACTTCAGTAATACAAACTCTTAATTTCCTCAAGCTGCCTTTGATGGTGTTCAGGCCCATAAAAACAAGCTCATGTTAATCTCAAATGGCAAAGAATGTTAGAAACTAAAACCCTGGGTTTCCTAAGATTTAAACTATTCAGTGGGCTGAAATTGAAATGGTCACATTTTATAAATATTATTATAGATCAGAATTTGTCATTTAAAACTCACATTTAAAGGCTGGTGAGGAAAACCTTTTTGTAACTGTTTTTTTTTTTTACCTTTATTCATTATTTTTTACCTTTATTTTGGTGATCTGCTTTTCATGAATGCCCCTGCTTAGTACTTGAAGAGGTTGGGGACTGTCTACAATGGTGTTTTCTGTTTTATTACTGGCTGTGGAAATTGACTACATCACTGTTTTCTGTATGCTGCTACTAAATGTCCATCCCTGTATATCTGGAGACTTTCTTTTGGTTTTTGGTTGGTCTTTATCTATAAATCTCTCCTTGGGCTGATTCCCTCTTATCTGTGTGTTCATATGGGTAAAAACTATAACCAATACAGCCTTTGTTCTTACAATATGATACAATTGATTGTTCTGAAAATCAGAAAAGAATGAGGTAAAAAGGCTTTTAAATATGCTGCAGAATGAGCTGAAATTGTGAGAAATGGTTACCCTGTAGGAGTTTAAGTCAGTTTTAAAGGAACAAGAGAATAACTCTTTTAGTCTGTGTGACTGTTTTTAATTGTTGCTCTTAATGCAGTTTTTCACCTGTTTGTATGCAATATAGTATTTGTTTTAAATTATTGTAATGTGTTGTATATGTTTTTACTTTTACTGCCATGATGCCAGGTCTCTCTTCCAAATGAGATTTGAATCTCAATTAGATTTATACCTGGATTAATAAGGGTTAAATGTTAAATACATAACATTTATGTACATTTACTTTACATATAAATAGTTCCTGGTGTGAGACCAGGAGGAGACACAAATCCCTGTGGCACGGCTGATGGACCAGGAAGGTTACTTTTATAATTGATTAAATACAAGCAAAGTAAAATAAAGCAGCAAAATAATCTTTCTGAAATTATTTGTTTTATTCAGCAGTTTAACAAGTAGACTGATGGATGAATTCATTAATCCAGCTGTAACGCTGTAAAGCTTAATGATAGCTGAAGCAGTGAGTGTTTGATTAGTGTATTGATCTTACCTACTGTGCAGATGTTAATGAAGAGGAGGGTGAAGCATAAAAACTTTGAAGCCATGTTCCTGGGTTGTGCTGTCAAACTCTGACACAGTCTGACTGAAAGCTGCTGTAAAAACCAGAGTGCAGGGTCACATGACCACAGCATCAGCTGTTACCAGGAAGAAATCTATAACAATATTTTGTTATATTTTTTTGACAGTCCAGGATGTGCCCTGCCTTTTAATAGGCTCCAGCTACCCTGTGTTGCTATTTGGATACCTGAAGCCTGATGGATGTTGTCAATTATAAACCAGAAACTCACAAATAGGTTAAAGTATTTCATATTATTGTCATTACTGAGAGATTTTATCAATTTGTTGGTTTATTGGCTGTGATTTGGTGAAGTTTACAGTGATCAGGTACAGAGCAGCTGTGGCGTTCATGGTTAGTGGGAAGATATAAGGGAAGCATTTATATTTGATGTAATGATGCTGAGTAAATTCACTGACTGAATTTGACCCTTTACACTAGCTTTATAGAGTCTAATGGTTGAATTGCAACAGGTTTTGGACGTGATCGCACAGGAGTTAAATATATTAAAGAAGTGGTTTGATAGAAACAAATTGCCTCTAAATTTAAATAAAACAGATTTATGTTATTTGGAAACTATAAGAAAAACATTAACATTGAAATTAGTCTTAATTCCCCTTTGGGGATAAATAAAGTCTTTCTGATTCTGATATCTACAAAGGGATAATACCATTAAATTTCTTGGTGTGATCATTGATCATAGGCCTGTTGGAAATCACACATCACTTAAGGAAAATTAGCTCGGGGCATTGCTGTCTTGAAGAAAGCAAAACAATTTCTGGATAGGAAAACATTGTATATGTTGTATTGTGCTTTACTATCACCATGCATGAGTTATTGTGTAGAGATTTGGGGAAATACAGCTGAAAGTAATATTCAGACTATAATCATAATGCAGAAAAGGGCTATTAGATTAATAAATCAGGAGGGTATAGGGCTCACACAAACGCACTCTTTATTAAGATGCAAGCTATAAAATTCCAGGATCTGGTGAAGTTTAAAACAGTGTAAATAATATATAAGGCAAGGAAAGGGATGCTCCCAATGGAAATAAGTAAATGGTTCTTAGAGAGAGAAGGGAGGTATAATTATAGAGGGAAGTGGAATTTAAAATTTCAAAGAGGAAGAACAACTTTGAAAAGGATGTCTATTTCAGCAGCGGGAGTTAAATTCTAGAATGAGTTAAAAGAAGAAATAAAGGTCAGTAGTGATATAAACCAGTTTTAAAAAACTCAAAAAAGAAATTTTAAATTAGTATAAGAATGAAGAAAACACAATTAACCCAAGACAGCAGTCAAAGTGATGTTTATTTTCTTCTGCAAATTAGCAAATCTAAATATAGTTTAGTTGAACATGAGAACATATTTTTTGTGATGTTATGTTCTAAGTTGAAGGCATTGTATGAGTTTTTGTTGTTCGAACTTAAATAGAATGATGAGGAAATGATTAAGATGTAAACCTAGGGCAGTGGGGCTAGATAAGTATATACTTCTGCCTACTCCTTTTCAAACAACTGAATGATATTATAGAATGTTGGTGAGTGTATATTTTTGAAATAAAACTGTACTGAACTGAAAATCGGTCAAATAACTCAGACAGCATCATCTTATGTTTTGCTGTATTCAGTTGAATCTGCCGATCAGCTGATAAAAAAGAAAAATCTACTGGAGCTCAAAATGCAGGTTTTTAGCTATTTTTAGACTTATCGCTCCATCATTACACATTTCAACATCAAGCTTGGGTTGTTACGCCCCAATAACACTGGAATACTCCACCAATGACAATAAAGGAGCTCTCTACATATCACACCTTTAAGGAATATCTTAAAAAACTGGTCTGAAAAAAAAAGAAGGTGAACTGATCACCTTCCCCCAGAATCCCCAACCAGTAACTTACCTGTGAAATGTACTTTGCACTCAAACATCCACCAGCCGCAGCAGAGCTCAAATGTATCTTCATTCAGCTTGAATGTTTAATTTTGTATTTAAATGTAACACTCAGAAGCTGTTTTGGGGTTTTCACATAACATTGATGGGTTTATAAACCAATAATTAACTGTGATATGGCATTTAAGTGACTAAATAAAGTGTGGTTTGAAGACAGACCAAACTGGCTCAGCACCCTTCTGTTCTAGCACCCAGTGACACAACACTGAATATGGGAGTCTTTGCACTCTGACTGGTTGTTGTGGAAGATGAGAACATCTTGTGGCAAAGCCTGCACACTTATATTTTATCATCAATAATTACAACAATAAATAAAAACATGATAACAAAATGAAAGGAACTGAGATGAAAATAAATGAACTCAAATCTTTGTCAATAAATCTTTAATGAAACAAAAAACCTTCTGGTTCACATCACTGTTCTCTGTCATCAAAAACTCTGTTAATATTCAGTCTAAGTGAGGACTGGAAGGTCTGCAATCATGCTCACCTGCTGCCGCTGTTTTTAAGGACAGGGTTTCTTCCGGATGTTTGATATGTAATAAGTCATATAAAATATCGGGATGCAAAAAAAATTCTATAAAGAACAGCAGTTTATCTGAGGATGCTTTCTGCTGGCACCGGAGGTAAAACAGCAGGTTCCGTGTAATCAGATTACAAACTCCTCAGATTTATTAAGACATCAGCCCCAACCATTCAGTGTCACTCGGTTCCTCTGATGAGTAAGAAGATTCCTGCTGCCACACCGAGGACACCGACAGTCAGACCCACTCCACAAAACATGGCAGGTCCAAGAATGAGATCAGTGTTCTCCACAGCTGCAGACAGAAACACAGAGAGTGACGTGAACCTTCACATCTGGAAACACTCATGGAGTCCCACAGGGTTCAGTGCTGGGAACTATACTTTTTATTTCAAGCAATATTATTAGAAAACACTGCATCATTTTCATTACTATACAGATGACACTCAGTTTTACTTAAATATTAATG